CCCTCCCGAGTGCTGGGATTACAGGTGTGTGCCACCATGCCCGGCTTCCAGCTCCGTTTTTTTAAAATTTTGAAACAGGGCTTTGCTAAATTGCCCAGGCTATTCTCATTACAGTACTCCTATCTCAGCCTCATGAGTAGCTGAGATAATAGGCATGGGCTAACAAGCCAGGCAACAAAATTTTGGAAAGGCAGTAACTACCAAAGCTTACTCAAGAAGAAATGGAAGCTGGGCGTGGTGACGCACACCTGTAATCCCATCACTTGGGAGGTTGAGGCTGGAGGATCACTGTGAGTTTGAAACCAGCCTGGGCTTGTCTCAAAAAACCCAAAGTGGGGGCGGGGGAGAAGAAAGAAGAAGAAGAAGAAGAAGGGGGAGGAGGAGAAGAAAGAAGAAGAGATGGGACTGGGCATGATGGCGCATACCTGTAATCCCAGCATTTAGGAAGTGGAGGCAAGAGAATTACTGCAGGTTTGAGGCCAGCCTGGGCTACATAGTGAGTTCAAGGCCAGTCTGGACTATGTAGCAAGACTCCACCTCAAAAAAACCTTACAAAGGGCAAGGTGTTTAGCTCGGTGCTGCTGCCTGCCTCGCAAGTACAAGGGCCTGAGTTCAATCCCCGGTACAAAAACAAAACAAAAAACAACCTTTAAAAAAAAAGGTACGATGGGAAGGGGAAGTAAAAAGAACCAAGATATGTTATATACCAATTCCCCACAATGAATGTAATCATTATGTACCATAGTAATTTAAAAAATTTAAATAAATGGATAATCTGAATAGCATTATCTATTATACAAGTTGGAACTAGAGTTTAAAACATTTCCACAAAGAAAACTATAGGCCCAGATGCCTTCATTGATTGATGAATTCTACCAAATATCTAGGAAAGAAATGCTACCAGTTCTACAGTAGTTATTCTAAAATTTTGAAGAAGGAATACTTTCCAAATCATTCCATGAGTCCGTTATAAGAAAATAAAATATCCCTTATGAACTTAGAGTTAACAGTTGTGAAGAAAATTGTAGCAGATTGAATTCAAAGATGGATATATATTTAGGCAGTTGTGTTAGTTACTTTTCTCTCTGCTGAGTCAAAATACCCTATACCCAAAGTTACAGGGAAAGGGTTTATTTAGCTTACAGTTAGTAGAGGTTTCAGTCCATAATCAGCTGGTTCAGCCTGAACTACATAGTGAGAACTTGTCTCCAAAAAAAAAAAAAAGCACTTGAAAGCCAGGCATTGTGGCGAAAGCCTGTAATCCTGGCACTCAGGAGGCTGAGGCAGGAGAATTGCTGTGACTTTGAGGCCAGTCTGAACTACATAGCAAGATCCTATCTCAAAAAAATAAAAAAAAATAAAAAAGTATTTGACATTCATTCTTTTGTTTTGTTTGAGGCAAAGTTTCCCTTTGTAGTTCAGGCTAGCCCTGAACTCACTATGTAGCCCAGGCTGACCTTGAACTCATAGTAATCCTCCTACCTCAGCCTCCCAAGGGCTAGGATTATAGGTATGTGACACCACACCTGGCATGACGTTCATATCGCACTCGGGACTTTGCACTTGAGAGGCAGGCGGTAGAACCACTGAGCTAAATCCCCGGCCCGTGACATTCATTCTTGATAAAACACGCGCAGCCAAAACTTTGTCCTTCTCCTGAAGAAACTGTAGCTAGTGGTATTGTGGATGGTGATCAAACCCTGACTTTTCCCTAAGATCCAAGCCTGGGAGGGTTTCATCTGTGCGTTCCGTGCTTGTCGGCATCTTTTAGGCAGTTAGAACAGTGCAAAGGCATCCAGGCTGCAAAGGCAGAAGTAAAAGTAAATTTGCAGACAGCATAGAACTTTATCTTCAGCCAAATGTCACCTGAACAAAGGACTCAGAAAATTGGCCTCTTGGACACCATTTCACAGGAGGTTCCTTGAAGATATACTCCAGCCAAACAAGTAAATCAAGAGGGGGGAATTAGAGGCTTATAGCAAGAATGGCCCTTTCCTGAGTCAGCTGCAATGGGGCAGAGTCCAGCCTGAGAGCTGTGTGATAGGTCTGAAGGACGAGATCAGAGCATGAGGGGAAGATGGTACTGGAGGGCATTCAGACGTGAACAGAATGAGACTGTGGTAAAGACAAAGGTGGTGACTTGGAGGACAGGTAACCATGTGTGTGTGAAAGCCCTCTAAAGTAAGGTCTGAATTTAAGCAGTGTATATGGGACATGAGGAAGAAAGAGTACATTTCATCTTTTTTTTTTTTTTTGGTACCGGGGATCAAACTCGGGTCCTTGTGCTTGTGAGGCAGGTGGCAGAACCATTGAGCTACATCCCCGGCCCTAGAATACATTTCATCTTGATGTTGGAGGAATTTTTTTTTTTTTCTAAAAGAACTCGGATTGGGGCAGTGCCCACCTAGAGAAAAAAAATGGGCCAAAAAGAATAATATATTTGGTCAAGCATACTGACACATTTATAAATGCATTTCAATAATTTTCAGATAGAAAATAGAGCCAGAGCTGGGGATTTAGCTCAGTGGTGCCGCCGCCTGCCTCACAAGTGCAAGGACCCCTGGTACCAAAAAAAAAGAAACCCAAGTTATGATTTTGCCAGGGATTTAGCTCAGTGGTTTCGCTGCCTGCCTCATAAGTGCAAGGTCCTGAGTTCGATCCTCAGCACCAAAAATAAACAAACAAAAAAAGAAAATAGAGCCAGTCATGTATACAAAGAAGGTAAAAGGAATGCAGCACACACACTTAAGGTAGGATATGAAAGTTAGACAAAGAGTATGTAGCCTTATCTTTTATAAGCCACTTCAGTTAAGTTTCTGGGTATTTCTTTTTTGGTATCAGGGATCAAATTTAGGACCTTGAGCAGGCAGGTGTGACACCACTGAGCTGAATCCCTGGCCTTCTTGGTATTTCTTTTTTATAACTCATTTGGTAATGATCCAGAAGAAGCTATGACCAATAGTGGACAAACTATGGATGATCGTGGACACAGTAGTTTCCATGGATGTGACAGGGAAAACAGGAAGGCATTTCATCTTAGACATGCCAGGGTGGAAGTTCTGTACAGAGAAGTTAGGGAGAGGCTGATGCTTGCTCAGTATAGACAACACATTTTGGGGATCATCTTGGACTGAAAAACTTTGATGTCTCTTTGGGAAACCCTGTCAGGCAGAAAGAAACCAGATCCAAAGGAGGACATAGGAAGTGGCAGCACTGTTAAATAAGTTAATGTATGTTGAGTATTTATGTCACCTAGAGAAGAATTTAATGTTAGTGGTACAGAAATCAGTAGCCGGCTAAAAGTGCTAGGCAAGAGAATGGAGATAAGTGTAGATTAGCCCAAGTCCAGAGGTAAACAGCAGACTCGGGATAGGGGTAGTGGTCCTCTGTCTTCTGGAAAGAGGATTGATGTCTGTTGGCTTTGTTCCTACATCAGTCTACAGTTGGTCCAGGGCAGCTGGTTCCTTTGCGCTGTGGAGGATAAGTGCTGACAGCTTGTACTGTGTAGACCCAGCCTGTGTTGACATTTGTTGACTGGGCTGGCTCCCCCCCCCTTTTTTTTTAACAGGTGTGGTATCTGTCTGTTTTGAGGGGGACAGTGATGGTTACATCAACTTGGTGGCCTACCCTTATGTGGAAAGTGAGACCATGGAGCAGGATGATGCACCAGAACGGGAGCAACCTCGGCGCAAACATTCCCGCCGGAGCCTGCATCGGTCAGGCAGTGGCAGTGACCACAAGGAGGAGAAGGCCACCTTGTCCCTTGAGACCTCTGAGAGGTAAGAGATGGTGAGCAGAGGTGTAGGTATGAGTCTCATCCTGCTGGCACATGCACCCAGAACATCTTAGAGTCCTAACACATCCTGCGGAAGCAGTTCTCAAAATTAAGGGTAGCTGGGGTTTCAGGGTCACTCTTGCAGATATGGCCTTCCCTAATAATGGTTCTTTCTGGTATGCTTGTAACTAGTTGAAAGAGACTGAAGCTCTCTGAGCCCTGTGGAAACATGTCTCATACTCACAAGACAGAGGTTGGCTGGGTGTAGTGGTACATTCCTGTAATCCCAGTTAGTTGGGAGACTGAGGCAGGAGGATTGAAAGTTGGAGACCAGCCAGGCAACTTATCGAGAACCTATCAGGGGAAAAAATGGAGGTTGGGTAGGGTTGTAGCTCAGCATGCCCTAGGTTGAATCCCCAGTATGGTAAAAAAAAAAAAAAAAAAAAAAGGAGATTGGTTTCTAACCTATAGGGCAGTGATGGCGAACCTTAGAGCCCATCTGCCAAACTGCAGCCCAAAATCTACTTACTTAGGCTGGGGATTTATCTCAGTGGTGCCACCACCTACTTTGGAAGTGTAAGGTCCTAAGTTCAATCCCCGGTACCAAAATCTACTTATTTGTCACAAAATACCAAAAGTGCAATTAAACCTGAATACTGAGGTTTCAGTTTAGAAAAAACAACTCTTATGCTCATACATTAACATCTTTTGTCCTAAAAATACAATAACACCTGTACCATAGGTTCGCCCCGTCATAGTCCAAGTAGTCTCTTGGATCCTAATAATTTTGTGTGTAGCATCTGAGAATCTGGTATCAGTAATCTTTTTGTTGCACTTAAAATTTATTCCATTAGGAACTGATTTTCCTCACAGACTAGGAAAATCTTTATAAAAACAATGCCAATATAGGATTTTGATATTATTTCAATATATATGCTAATTTGTTTCATTTATACTGCTAGGTCCTCTTAGTTCATTGAAAAGAAAGTAATTTTTGTTTTGGTTTTTTTTGTTTTTTGTTTTTTTGTTTTTTTTTGGGGGGGGGGATACCAGGAATTGAACTTTGTGTTTGCCAGGCAGGCGTGGTACCACTGAGCTACATCCCCAGCCCTGAAAAGAAAGTTTTGTGCTATTATCTATTTGTATCTTTTTTGTAAGTTTTTTTGTCTATGACTTATACTCTAACATTTTGGCCATTTTTTAAAAATTATGGTATACAGTTTTTAAACTAATATTCCTTAATTAATTTATGAAATTTTGCCTTTTTTTCCATAGAAGTAAGACTTTTTAAACATTTTCTTTATTAATATCTACTTGAATTACATTGAGATACCAAAAAAAAAAAAGAATGCCAGCTGGGCATGGGGTGCACACCTGTAATCCCAGCACTCAGGAGGCTGAGGCAGGAGGATCGCTCTGAGTTCAGGACCAGCCTGGGCTACAAAGTGAGCTCAGGGATAGCCTGAACTGCAAAGCAAGACCTAGTAATTACCTCCTAGATATGCACTCAAGAGAATTGAATACACACAAAGCTTATACACAAACATTCTTAGCATTATTCCTAACAGCCAGAATGTGTCCATCTCCTCGTGAAACAAAATGTGTCATATCCACACCATGGGATATTATTGTCATAAAAAGGAAGCTACAACATAGATGAATCTAAAAAACATAAGTGAAAGAAGCCAGATACAAAAGACCGCATGCTGTATGATTCTTTTGGATAAAGCAAAATAGGCAAAGCCAGGGTTAGAAAAAGCAGCCTAGTGCTTGCTCTCTGTTAGTGGTTAGGGCTCAGAGTATTTGGCAGTGAGGAGTGATGATACTTTATACGGTAGTGAATATACTAAGAGACCACTGAATGGAAAAATAATAAAATTAATGTGCGCTTCCTATATCAAAATAAAAATTATCCTACTAAATAACCTTAATTTCATTCAAATACAGATTTCATGAGTAAGATGCTCTGTGACTTGATTCAGAAATTGAAATTGAGAGCCATGGATGTGGCTCAGTAGTAGATGTCTAGCATGTGAGGTCCTAAGTAGCCTCCAGCCCCCCACCAAAAAAAGTACAGCTGGGAATTTTGAAATTTTCTTACATATGGCAATACAGAGTTCATCCTTGACATGAGAGCAGTTCCCCAGCACATGTCCACATTCATTCTCAGAGCTCTCTGTCAGACCCTAGGATATTCTTATTTTCCTCAGTTACTGTTTTCTCTTGCCAAGAAGCATAGAAAACCACTAGAATTCCAGCTAATTGTGCAACACGTTATTTCTATGTTCTTAGAGAGTGGCCAGGTTTGCATCTCTGATGCAAGGAGAGGGCTATCTAGCCACTTCCCAGTAAGCAGCATCTCTACATGTTGGACATTCTGTGGCCAGCAAGTTCCAGCCTGCAGAAGCACTTGCACTTTCATTTCACGGTACACAGCCCTTTTACTCCCCTCTTGACTGATGACTGTGGGACATGGAATGGTCCCCAATTCTGTAGCTGGCAGTAGAGAATTCTCTTCTAGCAGCTCTTCAGATGGGCCTTCTTGAGTCCTCCAGATGTGCAGAATTTGTTTCATGCATCATCTGGTGAGAGGCCAGTGAATATTAACTAACATCAAGGTCTTGAAGCCAGATATGGTGGCTCATATCTGTAATCTCAGCACTTCAGGGGCTGAGGCAAGAGGATTGTGAATTCACCCTGGACTACATAATGAGACTGTCTCTAAAATAAAAAGACATACTTGGGTCCAGGTTCACAGCCATGGTCTGCGGGTGCCTACTCACAGGGACAGGGTTTCTGCCTGGCCACTTAGCAGAAACTAAGTCCCTCCAAGATAGAGCTCGATTCTTTACCAAGGCCAGGATGACACGTCAAGGGTGATGCCAGGTGCCACAGTTGCCCCAACTGGAGAGCTTGTTTGGATTTATTTGGCAAATAGTCAACTTCACAGTTTTCTAAAGAGAATCACAAGAAAGGCATCTGTGACAGCCTCAGCACTGTGCTCCTCAGAAGAAAAAGATGTTGTCAGACATTGGTGGCTCTCTAATTCCAGTTAAAGGGACAAGGTCTCTGTCAGGGACATAGTCTGCACCACAGAGCTCCCCATAACTGGTCCCAGGGGCAGGGCAAAGAGGGAAAAGAAGCGGGAAGGGGGAAAGTTGCAGCACATGCAGCCACTGCTCAGCTGAGTCTGTGGCTTATCCTACAGTCAGTGGAAGGAAAGCTAGCAGTTGGGGACTGGGGTTGAGGGGCACATTAGAGATTGCTGTGATGGGAGCTGTAGCTCATCCTCCAGTTTCCAGAGCACCAGTGGTTTCACCAAGGATGTGCTTTTCTTTTTCTGAGTTTGACAGTATGAAAAACAATATTGTCAGTTACTTTAAGCAAGGATTTTTATGTTGGAACCTAGCAAAATGGTGGCAGACTTTCATTATTTTTCATTAGTGTCACCTTCCTGTCAAAACTCCTTTGTGGTTTGACTTAACTTTAGAAATAAAATTCTCTCACTTAAATGGCTTCATGCTTTCCCTAGGCACACTCCTAACCCAGAAGCACAAGTGTCTTGGGAGCCTGCTGATCTACTCTGGCTGTTTTTACTATGGTATTTTCCTCCTACTAGACCTGATCCAAAGATAGGAAATTCATCAACCTAATATCAACATATGCTTTTTAGAATCTTATTAAATTAAGCTCTTCCAAGGTGTTATAGATAAAGGTAGGACAGTTACGTGTGTCCTTGATAGTGACAGCCTCTGCTCTCCATGTTTGTTTAGTGTGACACTGTACCTTCATCACATTTTTTGTTATTTTTATTGTCATAAAATTTTCCTAGTATAAAATAACCAATTTAATTTTTTTTTTTTTTAAAGTACTGGTGATTGAACTCAGGGCCTTCACACTGAGCTACATCTCCAATCCCTTTTTTTATTTTTTAATTTTGAGACAGGGTCTCTCTAGTCACTAAGTTGCCTAGGTTGTGCTCGAATTTGTGATCTTCCCGGCCTCAGCTTCCCCAGAGTGCTAAGATTACAAGCATGCAATACCATACTCAGCTTTTTCTTTTCTTTTGTGTGTGTGTGTGTGTGTGTGTGTGACACACAGTGTGAAATAATGCTTCACTTTTTTAATGGGAAACATAGGTCTCACTTATTGCCAAGGCTGGCCTCCAAATCTTGAGCTCAAGTCATTCTCCTAACTTACCTTTGAGAGTAGCAACAGGCATCCACCAGTGCACCCAGCCTCTGTTGAAGGTTGTAAGGAACACCTAACTTTCACAGGTGCTGCACCATTTTACCTTCCTGCCAGCAATATAGGAGGGTTCCAGTTGCTTTACTTCCTTTGCAATACTGTTCCAGTTTTTTTTATTTATTTATTTATTTATTTAATTTATTTTGGTACTGGGGATCAAACTCGGGTCCTTGTGCTTGCGAGGCAGGCAACGGAACCCCTGAGCTACATCCCTGTCCCTCCAGTTTTATTCTTTTGATACTAGCCATCCTAGTGAATTTGCAGTATAGTAAGTTCCTGACTTACAAAGGAGTTCTGTTTCGGGAAAATGTTTGTAAGTTGTATTTGATTGTTAAGTCTAACAAAGTGAGCCTTATACACCTTTGACACAGATATATAACATAGAACAAAGAAAGGCCAAACACATTAGCTCAGTGGTGCTGCTGCCTGCCTCGCAAGCACAAGGTCCAGAGTTTAATCCCCAGTACCCCCCCCAAAAAAAAACCCAAACACACACAGATGATATAAATAAACTATTTTTACTTTTATGGTTACCTTAAATCTTTTTTCTTTTTTGGTACTGGGGATCGAACTCAGGACCTTGTGCTTGCGAGGCAGGTGGCGGCACCACTGAGCTAAATCCCTGGTCCCTCACAGTTACCTTAAAATGGTAATACAGTACCATCTTCTCATCTCTATCCATTCTCTCAATTATTTTCACTTTTGTTTCCATGGTTATTGCTTTGCGCTTCCTAGCAGTCCCCTCCACAGCATTACTGCTTTTCCTCTTGCTTCGGGATGTCTTGGGCTCTGATTGAACACTGTACACTATCATGCTGTACAGTGAGCACACAACAGCACAGCTGTGATGATGTCTGGCAGACATGTGAGTTACTTCCATGATTTGTTCACATTTACAAATGTTCATAATGCAAGATCTGTCTGTATCTGAAAGTTTGTAACTTGAATGTTTGTAAATCAGGGACTTATTGCAATGTTTTCATCATGTAATTTATCACAAATAATTACTTTCCTGTCAGTTTTCCAAGACACAGGAAGAACACTACTGTGCTGTTTGCCTTCATTGGCTCACATTTCTGGGGCCCCTGTGCCATTTGTCAGCAGAGTCTATGGGTGGGAGATGAGGCCTGACCCTGTCCTCCTCTGCCCTTTGTCCCCAAGGATGACTTGCCTGAGTCTCTTAGTGATGTGTGTGTTCTTCCTTCTTAGCTCCCAGGAGGCAAAGAGTCTGAAGGTGGAGCTTCATAGCCACTCAGATGTCCCTTTCCAGATGCTAGATGGCAACAGTGGTCTGAGTTCTGAGAAGATCAGCCATAACCCCTGGAGCCTGCGCTGTCACAAGCAGCAGCTGAGCCGCATGCGCTCTGAGTCCAAGGACCGAAAGCTCTACAGTATCCTTATCTCCCTCCTTCAGCACTGTCTCCTGGGACTCCCTCCAGACCTGAGGTCCTTCTCCATCCAGATATCCCTCTTGATTTTCATCTCCTTTTATCATAGATTCCTCTTCTTTCTTTTACGTCCATTAACATGTTTTTTTTTCTTCTTTTGAACATGGTAAGGCAGAAGCTTAAAATGTGATAGTAGAGCTGGGCATTTTGTTGCATGCTTGTAATCCCAGCACTCTGGAGGCTGATGCAGGAGGATCACCACAAGTTCAAGGCCAGCTGGAGCTACATAGTGAGTTCAAGGCCAGCCTGAACTATAAAGGGAGACCCTATCTAAAAAAAAAAACCAAAAAAAATTTATTTATTTATTTATTTACTGTACAGCCAGACACGGTGGAACATGAATGTAATCTCAGCATTCAGGAGGCTGAGGCAGGAGGATCACTGAGGATCAGTGAGAGTTTGAGGCCATCCTGGACACTATATAGCCTATCTCAAAAACCAAAAACAAAATTGAGAGTCTTAAGGGCTGGGAATTTAGCTTAGTGGTTCTGCCACCTGCCTTGCAAGTGAAATGTCCTGAGTTTGATCACTGGTACAAAAAAGAAAAGAGAGTCTAGAACAGTGTTATGGGATGTTTATAAAGTTCACTGATTGAAATTTAATGAGAAAATTATAAGGTAGATTTTTTGGGGGGTTAGGTTGAACTTAGGGCCTTATGCTTCTCAGGCACTGCACTACTGTGCTGTACACCCCCAGCCCCAGACAGATACTGAAATCCAGCATTTTCTAAAATTTCCTGTTGGGAATGTTAGAATCTGAATTCCTGGTTTTGGTGGTATGCTGCAAAGACGTCTTCCTTATTAGGTCTGGATGAGGTGCTGGCTTGAGTGAGGCCTTGGTTTACTGATGGTGACTGGTATGTGTTCAGGTCTATCAGATCTTTAATTGATTGTCTGCAAGGTAGATCTAAGCAATTTTTTAAAAAATGAATCTATGTGTTCTGTGTATATATAATGGAAAATTTATGCCTATTAAAAAATGAAATTGAGGGCTGGTGATTTAGCTCAGTGGTTCGGTGGCCTGCCTTGCAAGCACAAGGACCTGATTTCGATCCCTGGTACCAAAAAAACAAAAAATGAAATTGATATGTACTATACATGGATGAACCTTGAATACATTTTAAGTGAAACAAGCCAGGCTTAAAATGACAAATGCTGTACAATTCCATTGGTACGAGAACCCTTAAATAGAAAAACTCCTAGAGATAGAAAGTAGTATATCCATTTTTCAGGGGTTCTGGGGAGGGGAGTTGGGAGTTTCTGTTTAATGGGTACAGAGTTTCAGTTTGGGAAGAAGAAGAAAATTCTGGAGGGGATGGTGGTAGTGATTGTACAACAAGTAAATATACTCAGTGCCACTGAATACATTTAGAAATGGCCAAAATGGTAAACGTCATGGGATATGTGTGTTTTTTTGTTTTGTTTTGTTTTTTGTTTTTTTGGTACCGGGGCTCAAACTTGGGTCCTTGCACTTGTGAGGCAGGCGGTGGCACCACTGAGCTAAACCCCCGTGTTTTGCCATAAACATTTTTTGTTAAATAATATGCTAGAAGTATGAAGCCCACGATTGAGAGTTTGTGAGGTTAATAAAGTTTTCATTAGACTACAAAGCCCCTTTTTCTAGAATGCCTTTGTTCTGCTTTCCTGGGTGGGGCTGACAGCGAGTGTGGCTGTCATTCTTCTTGACCATGGCCCAGAATTCCTCCTGCTTGAGAACGTGGTTCACCATTTCAAGTACCCCTGTGTGCTGGACCTGAAGATGGGTACTCGGCAGCATGGGGACGACGCATCAGCTGAGAAGGCTGCCCGGCAGATGAGGAAGTGTGAGCAGAGCACATCTGCCACTCTGGGGGTCAGGGTCTGTGGCATGCAGGTGAGTCACCACTGGTTCCAGCCTTCATGCTGTCACCTGCATGTTTTAGGTTGCTTATCTTCCTGGCCCCACTTTTCTGGAATCTCCAAGAGGGTAAGTCTCCCATGGTGCAGAGTAAGTATATCCTTGCAAGTGTGATCCCTGACCTCTCTTGTCCTTATCTCTTGACCTTGATCTGAGCTCCAGGTGTCTACATACCGCTGTGAGAGCCTGCAGTCTCAACACTGGGACAAGCATGTTAGAGGAGTATGGAGAACAGTACCACAGGTGTTGCCATGGGCCCAGTTCTGTTGTCACTGCTCTATAATGGAGAAACCTAGGGTGAATGTGGCCTGTTCTGCTCTAGTTGGAGGAGCAGAAAAGGCTCAGCTTGGTTAGCGCCTTCCAGATGATGCTTGCCCAAGCATTGCTGAGGTCATTGACTCCCCAGTGCTCATTCTCTTGTTTCCTTGAATTTCAGGTGTATCAGCTGGACACAGGCCATTACCTCTGCAGGAACAAGTACTATGGCCGTGGGCTCTCTATTGAAGGCTTCCGCAATGCCCTCTATCAGTACCTGCACAATGGGCTGGACCTGCGACGTGACCTCTTTGAGCCTATCTTGAGCAAACTGCGAGGCCTCAAAGCTGTGCTGGAGCGGCAGGCCTCCTACCGTTTCTATTCCAGTTCTCTGCTTGTCATCTATGATGGCAAGGAGTGCCGGTCTGACCTGCGTCTCAAGCACCTGGACATGGGGATCCCTGAGGTGGCACAACCTGGTGGCCCCAGCACTAGCCCCAGCAGCATCAACCCTGAGGCGGGCCCCTCCTGTCCACCCAAAGTGGATGTCCGCATGATTGACTTTGCACACAGCACCTTCAAGGGCTTCCGGGATGACCCCACTGTGCACGATGGGCCAGACAGAGGCTATGTGTTTGGCCTGGAGAATCTCATCAGCATCATGGAACAGATGCGGGATGAGAACCAGTAGGCCCAGTTCTGGGCCCCCGATACCCGTTCCTCTCCACCCACAGGCAGGGACCATTGCTCTGAACTTGCCATGAGGACACACAGACTTACTTTTAAAGGGTTGTATTTCTCTTTGGTGTAAACTAAAAGAAATGTTTTTAGTTGTAGCCTGGAAAATATATATATATATATATATA